GAGGTGAGTGACCTTTATTTATCTGGCTTACTGATCGTCATGAAGAATGTTTCGTCGATCGCTTGATCCAAAGCGAAATCAATAGATCGGCACTTCGAATAGCATATCGTTACGTCACTTGCACGTACTCACACTGATAGGATGGTCTGCCTGTGGTAAAGCTAGTGAATTATGGAATCGATAAAGTTTACCTGATAGGTACGGGGTGTATGGAGACATATAATGTACCAGGTCACGTTGCGCATAGGGGTCTGGGTGCCAGGCCATATGTTTATTTTTGCCCCTCGCCCGCAGGGTTTTGGCCCAGAGGCCATTTGCCTGTGGGTGGTACGCTGTGATGCAGAGGCGTGTAGCACCGAGGAGGTTCATGACGGAATGCCAAAGATCAGACTCGAATTGCTGTCCCTGGTCAGAGCTGATCGTCGTTAGAACACAAAAGCGTGAGATCCAAGCCGTTAGGAGGGCTGAAGCGCAGGACTCAGCGGTGGCATCAACCATTGGAATTGCCTCGGGCCAGCGGGTGTATCGGTCAATGCAAGTAAACAGGTAAGTGTAGCATTTGGATGGAGGTAAGGGCCGAACAATGTCCACATGAATACTATCGAAACGACAGTCGGGTGGGGTGAAGGCCTTCAGTGGGGATTTAACGCCGTTGCATTTTTGACTGCTCACAGTCATGGCAAGTACGGGTCCAGCAGGCAATATCTCGCTTCATATTGGGCCAGACATACCGTTCGGATATCAAACGACGAGAGGCCTTGATGCCAGGATGAGACAAAGAGTGCAGTTTGTCAAAGATAGCTCGACGCATCGCTGAAGGCACCAGAGGACGGGGACGACCTTGAGAGATATCACAAAGAAGAGTCCGCCCGGAGCGCAAAAGATGTACTTGTGCGAGCTGCAATGAGGCGGGGGAGGTGGAAAGCTTAAGGAGCTCCTCATCTTGGTCTTGGGCAGAAGCAAGGGTGTCAAGGTCTATTGGGGATTGTTCCAAGGCAAGGATGTTGCGTGACAGTGCATCAGCAACACGATTAGCTCGGCCATCGATATGGCGGATGTCTGTCGTAAACTCATACACAAAAGCCAGATGCCGGGCCTGTCGTGGTGATTGTCGTTCGGCACTGGAGTGAAGTGCAAAGGTAATAATATAAGAGGCTTGTGGTCAGTGTTGATATGGAAAACACGGCCCTCAACAAAATCTGGAAATGTCGGACAGCGAGATAAGTTCACGATCAAAGGCACTGTATTCCAGTTCTGCAGGGCTCACCTTCTTCGAAAAGAAGGAGATAGGTTTCCATTGTCCATTAAT